TTTTTTTAAGTAGTTTTGATATTAATTTCATTAGTCACTGCCTCTCAGAACTGTCTCAGAGGAGATGCAAGTTCTTGGCTTTTTGCACAAGCTCTGCTCTTGCCCTCACAAGGGAAACACTAAATGCTTTTTTTTTTTTTCCATTTTTGTATGTCCATCAGCCAAAGCCATCTGTGGAATTGAAGTTAAAAATAAAGTCCATAACTTTAAGTGAATATTTTTGTCATCTTTACGGAAGGGTTTTGTTTTGTTTTTTTAATTGCAGAATAAATAAAAAAATAAAGAAATAAAATCAGCAGTCAATTTTGTCACACAGCACCGAAAAGTCAAATGGAGACTAAATCTAACTTTGGGAATAAATATTGCAGGGGAAACTGTAAGATAAATGCTAAACCAGAAATTATTTTGTTGAGTTTCTTTATCTTTCAGTGTCAGATTTTCTTTATTCCCTTGTTTAGAAAAATACAAAAAGAAATGCAGAATTAATTTTCTATACGCGTATATATACACAAACTAAATTGTAAAATTTTACAAGTTAACAGCATGGATAGAAAATACAGATTTATTAAAGGTCATAATTATGAGACTATAAGAATTGTTTTGATTATTTGATTCAATTACTGATTTTCCTACCGAAATTACTAGCTTGAAATGCTGCTGTTATTGCAGAGGGTTTTCTCAATTGTTTTGCATAGATACTAAGTCATTGGTAACTGGAAAGTCACCAACCTTTCTTTTTTTTCCATTGGTTTGGATTTTTTTTACTACTCAATAGCAGTTTAGTAGCTCATCACCGTTTTAATCAACGTTTACGTGAGCTGGAGTAGTCTTTTTAATTTAGCCCACTCGGTCAGTCTTGTGAATCGCTTTGTCGGCCTTTCCAAAGTATCTGACTAGGGCATGTTAAATTGCTGGAAACTTTAAACTTACTTGCCTTAACGAAGCAGGTACTCGGGGCTTCACGTTTCCTTCTAGCAGCTAATGATTCAAATAATATTTCCATTTCGATACTTGTGTTACAAACATGGTGATCATTGAACTTCTTGTGTAATTGCTTCATTTTGTTTATTATGACAGCTGAATTGTTTCTTTCATGTAGCTTTGCACTTTTGGATTGCTAAGTGGTCTAAATAGGGTGTTTTGATGTCTGTAGCGTAGATGTGTTAGTAATTACATTTTGAAAGATGGCAGTATCTGCATTGAAATTACTATTCAATTTGCTGTGGTATAACAAATAATAACGGCTGTATTTGAAAGTGCAGCACGTTCTCAGTAATCTTCAGTAATACATTAGGCTGTAGATTCAAATCTGACTGTGAAAATAAGCATACATGAGACCTGTATTTCCTTTGTAGGAAGAGTATCCAGGGTGGAAGAAGTGTGTGTAACTAACTTCACAACAGTTTTGCCTTCTGTTTTCTTTGGGGTCTAGTTCAAGTAATGCACTTTGTACTTTTCTTATTTTTATTTATAAAAGGTTATTGGAGATGATCTGATGGTTGAAAGAAAAATGTTTATTTAGTGCCTCTTAGGTGCAAAGAGAAGGCATTTTCTTGTGATGTATTTCAAGTAATCCTGGTATCTTCTTCTCATGTGATACTGTTGACTTTTAATTTTTATTTTCAGTGAGAGGAGTTGCATTGTATTTTTCTGTTGGAAAAGAGCTTTGCTTTGTTACTTCTATTTAGAAACAGGCAGAAAGCCACAATATTTATAGAAATTGGGAGAAAGTTTTTGTTTTGATGAATGAATGTTCTTGGTTGCTAAATGGAATGTCAGGACAACCATTTTTGTGCTTCAGGCTGAAAGTAGCTTCAGTGAAGAAGAGGAGGAAAAACTTCAAATAGCTTTTTCGCTGGAGAAGCAGGATCTTCATCTAGTTCTTGAAACTATATCATTCATTTTGGAACAGGTACCTTGTTTTTATCATTATGAATTGGTAAATGTATTTTTTTATCCAATTGTACATTTCAAAATGTAAAAGTCAAGTTAAAAAGGAATTAGTGAAAATGTAGCGTATTATGTATGTTTTGGGTGTGTGATTTTATTGCTTTGTTTGCATACCTTCCTGATTTTGATTGGACTCGTTGCATTTGTGGAGTGAGTTTCCAGCTAATGTAAATATAGATGGTGGGAGCGAGCTCGGCATGACTCTGAGAGAAGTGTTGATAATTGAGATGTAGTCTTTCCTTTTATTTATCGTAAGCAAGCCAGATATGCATTTTAATTCCTGCAAAGAAAATGTTAGATGGTGTTGTTGAGCACTGCTTAAATCACGACGTGTCACTTAAGGAAAACTGTTGTGCACAACAGCAGTCTGTGCTTGGGTGAACAGATGCACCTGATGTGGTTCTAGTATAGAATCATAAAATCATAGACTCATTTTGGTTGGAAAAGACCTTTAAGATGATCAGTTCCAATCATTATCCTAACACTACCAAGCCCCCCACTAAACCATGTCCCTAAGCACCACATCTACATGTCTTTTGAACACCTCCAAGGATGGTGCCTCCACCACCTCCCTGGGCAACCTGTTCCAATGTCTTAACCGCTTTCAGTAAAGAAATTTTTCCCAATATACAATCTTAAGTCTCCCCTGGCACAGCTTGAGACCATTCATCTTGTCCTGTGATTAGTGACTTGGGAGAAGAGACCAACACCAGCCTCACTACAACTTCCTTTTAGGCAGTTGTAGAGAGCAATAAGATCTCACCTCAGCCTCCTCTTCTCCAGGCTAAACAATCCCAGTTCCTTCAGGTGCTCCTCATAAGACCTGTTTTCCAGACCCCTCACCAGCTTTGTTGCCGTATCTGAAAGGGTCAGTATTTGAATGAGTAGGTGACTGCCTGATGTAGAGCTAAATATCTTATAAACAGAGAAGGTTTTCTGGTTGTTCTATCTGCCACTACTCAGGCTGGGAAGCCAATGTATTGCCAAGTAAATATGGTAACTTCCTTAGAAATTGTCATAGCTATGATGTTACCTATCCATTTCATGCAAGTGTAGCCTGTGCAGAGGGCATGCGTGCTGATAGTCTCTTGTGGGATTTGAATCTTGTCCTGTCTTACACATGTTAGTTTTAGAAAAGTTGTCCTTTCTTCGTGGTCATAATTGACTTCAGAGCCCAGAGTTTTTCCAGTGATAGCTGCTTCGGCGTTATGTACAGTGGAAACATATACATATACTCAGATCTAGCTTGTATATACTTTTTTTCATAGTTAGTCTATCTTGAGAAGAGTCATTTGTAATACTGCATTTTGAGATAGAAATCATCCAGATAGTTACACTTTTCTATTTTCTCAGTCAGAGGATTAAGATGAACAGGGTGCTTGCAGTCCTGTAGTGGAGTTGCTAGTAAAAATCTTATCTGAACATGGTGGCCATCTGTGGTAGAATATATCTGGCACAGCTTGTAGAGCAGTACTCAACAACAGCAGTTATTTTTCCTTTTAACAGGCCGTCTATCATAATTTGAAGCCTGCTTCATTGCAACAACAGCTGCAAAGCATTCACCTGGATCAAGACAAAGCTGAAGCATTTGCCAGTGCGTGGGTGGCTGCAGGTCAAGATACAATTGAAAAGTTCAGGCAGAGGGTTTTGACCCCTCAGAAGGTAACACTTTTTTTCTGAGAGAGAATAAAGCTGTGTAGGTTTGTTTTAAAGGAAGGATTTCAATCTTATGACGAGCCAAGGTACTGGAATTTAAAAAGGGTACTTACTAGGTAGTAGATAAATGTGATTTGGGCACTGGAGTCCCATTGTCTTAAAGACATGTTACATGTTAGCTGAGCTTCTGTAACCTTTGGAACCTGACTGTATGTGAACTGTTAGCCATGTAAAGTAATGTGGCCTGCATACCATAGGGAGGTGTTTGTGAGCATGCTTTAAAGTAGGGCAAGGCTAGAGTGTGCTCATGAACACCTGTAGTGGTTTAGCTCATCAGCCTGTTGATTCTCTGTACTTAAAGTGTATCTAGCTTTAATTTTGTAAGCTGCTTGGATGGTGCATTTTGTGGGATACCATGATTTTGAGATACTTTTCTGTGATGGCATAATAATCTTGTTTCATGTGTGCCTGTTACCACTTCAGTATGAGCTGTGGAAGTCTCATTGGCATAAATGTCTACATCTAAGAGAAGGTATGACAGTGTCCTTCTGTTGATTCGGGATAAGCCTTCAGCTGCATTAGAAGATGTATACAGGACACATCAGTGTCACCCAGGATCAAATGGTTCAAAAGAATTGTGGAACGCTGCCCCATTCTTCATGCTTTATTTTTATCATTGCTATATATCTTGTTGGGATAAGATTCAGTTTGTTACTTTATGATTTGGTCAGTAAAATATACATAGAAAATAAATTTTATATGTAAGGTACACAATACACTGATAGAAATAGAACAACATCATTTATACTAGCAGGTTTACACCTGAATAAACCTAGAATTTTATTTAGGTGTAAAATGTACATTTTGAGAAGACGAGGTATGTTTGTGGAGGTATTCAGAATTGCATCACAGATGATTTTTCCAAAGAATTTAAACTTGATCTTTTGTAAAACTGAGTAACTTTAGACAACAAACTTGTAGAATTTTCATGTGCAAAATTATAATGAACCTAACCAAGCCAATGACTGATAAGGTAAGTATGCAAAAAAAAAAAATAATAATTGAGTTAAACAGTATATTTTGGGCTTCTGTCTTCTTGTGATAATATTTACTAATGCTAAGCATACAAGTCCCAAAGTTTAAATGGTCAGCAATACAGTGACTCTGTAGGCGAGTGTGACTATCCATTGGAGGAGGTGAGTAATTTGAAAAGAAAGTAAAATCACGGAGGGTTACAAGGCTAACTTTTCAGAATACAGCATATATGTACAGAATGGAAGGCAGTTCTGAAGATACACTACAAAGTAGCTGTCTGAGAACTTTTTCAGCCTATACACTAATATGTATTTTACTGCTCAGTCCTCAGCATATGAGAAAAGAATAAAGCCACCTTTGATCCTCTTTTATTTGGAGCATGTATCGTACACACCTGTGGTCCTTCTGTGACCTACTTTGGGGATGACATTGCTCTGTTTCTTGTCTGTAGTTTTGTGAGCCCTGCAACATACTTTTGTGTGTTACAGTTTTGGAGATGCTTTGTGACTTCACCATGATCTCCTATAATGGAATAGTGTTTTGCTGGTGTGTTAGATCTCATACTAAGCAGTTTTAAACTGTTGTTTGTAGTTAAGCTTGCCGAACAGCAACTGCCAAAATACTGTAGTGCACCATACTTGTTTTTTAGCATGAAAGCAGGTTTAAATATAGGTGTATGCTTAAATCATCATTTCACCCCCCTTTTTTCTTTTCCTAGCCTAGATGACAAGTTGAGTATCAGTTTGAGTGGGAGTGTAGTCTCTAAGGTGTAATTTGAGCTTGAATTTGAATTTACTTTCTCTGTTTTGAAAACATCTTAATCCTGCAGACTTGAGTTGAATGAAAAACTTGAGGTTCAAGAGAACTTTCCTTAATGCAAAGCCTCAATTCACAGAACAAATTGCTAAACAAAGTATTTATTCTGCTAACAAAGCACACAGAGGTGAAATATTTTAAAAAATTGCATGGAATAGTGGAAGAAGAACTTGCCATCTCCTTATAATCTTATGAATCTCCTTGTAATGTCTTGTAAATGCAGTAGATGACTGTGTGATCCCTTCATCATTCCCTTCTATATTGTGTAAGTAATTGTGTATCAGCACATATTTGCTGCATTATCTTTCTATACCTTGAGAAATGGCCAAAACATTCTCTTACTTGTGATACATTGTTACAGCAGCCCACTTGCTGTAAACTTTCATCAACAGCTTGAATTAAAGTTAGAATCCTGAAAAATACTTAGACCAAAGTGCTGTCTTGTTAGATTAGATTTACAATTTAGATTTTTGGATTGGTTTAGAGATTATATTAGCTTTTTTCTTTGAAAAAAGAGATACGTATCCAATTATTAATACTTTCTGCAGCATGTATATACAGGTATAACATTTAAAACAGTTGACCCTGTAAATGTGTCCTCAGTATAGGTGCTGCTTTCATGGCTGTGTGTAAGTTAATGATTTGTGCTATTCACTTCTCTCACAGAAACAGTATTAGGTACATAAAAATAATGTGACTGTTCTGTTGTGATAATTGTCAGAAACATAACCATAGGATGGTTGAGGTTAGAAGGGACCTCTGGAGGTTATCTGGTCCAGCCTCTCTGCTCAAGCAGGGCCACCTAGAGTCAGTTGCCTAAGACTGTGTCCAGACAGTGTTTGAACATCCCAGAGGGTGGAGACTCTACCACCTTCCTGGGCAACCTGTGCCAGTACTCGGTCACCCTCAAAGTGCAGAAGTGTTTTCCTGTGTTCAGGCAGAGCCTCCTGTGTTTCAGTTTGTGCCCATTGGCTCTTGTTCTGTCACTGGGCACTCCTGTAAAGACCCTGGCTCCATCCTCCTTGCAGCCTCCTTCAGGTATTTGTATACATTTAACGAGGTCCTCCTGAGCCTTCTCTTCTCCAGGCTGAAGAGTCCCAGTTTTCTCAGCCTCTCCTTGCAGGAGAGGAGCTCCAGTCCCTTCATCATCTTTATGGCCCTTTCCTGGACTCTCCAGTATGTCCATGTCTCTCTTGTACTGGAGAGCCCAGAACTGGTAATACTATTCCAGATTTGGCCTTACTGTTGCTGAGTAGAAGGGAAAGAACACCTCCCTCAGTCTGCTGGCGATAACACCTCCTAAATGCAGCCCAGGATACCATTAGCTGTCTTTGCTGCTAGGGCACATTGTTGGCTTGTGCTCAACTTGGTGTCCAGCATGACCCCCAAGTTTTTCTTTATCAAAGCTGCTTTCAAGTTTGGTGGCCCCCAGCATATACTGATGTCTGGGGTGGTTATTCCCCAGATACAGGACTTTGCACTTATCCATGTTGAACTTCATGAGGTTCTTGTTAGTACATTTCTCCAGCCTGTCCAGGTCCCTCTGGATGGCAGCACAACTCTCTGGTGTATCAGCTGTTCCTCTGTTTTGTGACATCTGCAAATTTGTGGAAGGAAGAAACTAATGTGAATAAGGTATGATAAGGGCTTGCCTGGAATATTAATACTTTATATGGTGACTTTATAACAAAGGTCTCCCTCAAGAGCCTGGACTGGGACCAACACTGTTTAATGTCTTCATCAATGACATAGTGGCAGTCAGTACACCCTCAGCAAGTTTGTGGATGACACCAAGCTCAGTGGTGCAGTTGATTTGCTAGAGAGGCAGGATGCCATCCAGAGGGACCTTGACAACCTTGGGGAGTGGGCCCATGTGATCCTCATGAAGTTCAGCAAGGTCAGGTCCAAGATCCTGCTCCTGGCTTGGGGCAATCCCTGGTATCACTACAGACTTGGGGATAAATGGATGGAGAGCAGACCTGCAGGGAAGGACTTGGGGATACTGGTGGATGAAATATTGGACATGAGCTGGCACTGTGCACTTGCAGCCCGGAAAGCCAACCGCATCCTGGGCTGCATCAAAAGCAGCGTGGCCAGCAGGTTGAGGGAGGTGACTCTCCCCCTCTACTCTGCTCTGGGGAGACCCCACCTGCAGTGCTGCCTCCAGCTCTGGGGGCCCCAGCACAAGAAAAACATGGACCTGCTTGAGCGGATCCAGAGGAGGGTCATGAAAATGATGCAAGGGCTGGAGCACCTCCCCTGTGAGGACAGGCCGAGAGAGTTGGAGTTGTTCAGCCTGGAGAAGAGAGGGCTCCAGAAAGACCTTGTTGTGGCCTTTCAATACTTAGAGGGGGCTTATAAGACAGAGAGGGAGAGAGACTTTTTAGCAGGGTCTGTAGTGACAGAACAAGGGGCAATGATTTTGAACTGAAGGAGGATAGGTTTAGGTTGGATATAAGGAAGAAATCTTTTACAGTGAGGGTGGTGAGACACTGGAATAGGTTGCCCAGAGAAGCTGTGGATGCCCCATCATTGGAAGTTCAAGGTCAGGTTGGACGGGGCTTTGAGCAATGTGCTCTAGTGACAGATGTCCCTATGCCTATGGCAGGGAGGTTGGACTAAGTGATCTCCAAAGGTCCCTTCCAATCCAAACCATTATATGATTCTATGAATACAGAGTTTTACCTGTTAATGCTCTTTCAAAAATATGTATGGACTTTTTTGTTGTCACTGCATTTTGGTAGGGGCTTTTACTGACCTGTTCAGGTGGTGTGCAGGATGACATATTAATTTAGAATTCAGAGTATGTGTGAATATTGTACACTTTTGCTTGCCATGTGCTTTTCTGTACAGTTACCAACTCTGAATTTTCTTTATAATGGCTTTAGTGGGTGTTTCCATAGGATTGCTCATCTGGATCTGAGTGCAGAATCAGGGTTGTGGTTAGTATTACTGAGATCTTGATGGTTCTGTTCCAGCATGAGACAGTGTTCAGGGCAACTGTGTGCAAGATAGTTTGCAATGTAATTAAGAAAAATTTAATCAGAATGTTATTTTCATTTTAAAGTGTTTTGCTAAAATCCAAATGGCAAATAATTCTGAGTCTCTCCTGGCATCTTAGAAGTTGTGTATTTTGAAAGTACTGAAATGCTGTC